GCCTAAGCCTAAGCCTAAGCCTAAGCCTAAGCCTAAGCCTAAGCCTAAGCCTAAGCCTAAGCCTAAGCCTAAGCCTAAGCCTAAGCCTGAACAAAAATAAGTGTTTCGCATGAACTTTATTCGGTTTTGTTAACATTCAATAACTGTGATCTTGCTTCTTCGAATTCCATCAATACTTTCATTATTCTCCAAAACAAGCTTGATTTCAATCTGAAGTTTGAGATTATGAGTTTTATGTACAGTTTCTTTCGTATTTAACCGCCATTGTTCCAAGGGATATGGTGATATAACAGGTGTACGAGAGAATTCTTGTTCAGATTCATAAGAAATTTTGGATATCGTATAAATAATCTGCCCTTTAGCTGTTCTGTACTGCTGAATAAAAATTAATTAAACTAATTGAAATATCTTTTTTAATCACATCGTTTGTTTCTTCGTTCGATAGTCGACCCAGAAAGAATTCCTGTAGTTCGTCATTAGGTGTATTTGGTTGAGTTTTCCATGTTTTGAGCTCAATCGGAGCTCTAAAATTGGAGTTATTAGCGCTGCTACTTTATTCATTACCGTATTGAAGTAGGTATCAAAAAAGTGGATGTGAGTCCTTCGAGGTATTGACGACCCCAAATATCTTCTGATATTACCCGAAGTTTTAAAGTTGCAAAACTGTTCGGTTCGTTTCTAGGTATTAAAACTGTGACAACAAAAAGCTCCGAGAAGTAGAAGTTATTTTCCTGGATTGGTTTATATGTACTTTTACAAACATTGGTAAAACGCAAACCTTATTTTTAAAACATTTCGATGTTTTTCCAAAGGTTTGTCCAACCACTGTGGCTCTAGAGTTTTCAAAGAATACTTCCCAATGAATGACAATGCCATCTCTATCAAAATATTTCGCTTTTTCTTAAAGTTCGAAAATAAGAATGTTTTTTTAGTTAATCTAATTCAGCTACCGATTGCGATTTGATATGTGAAACTGGAACAGTTATCATCCAATGGTTCGATTCTTTCTGGCACGCTTAATTGCATAGGAACAACAATCTGGAAAGCGAACGGTTCGAACAAATGTTTGACTTGAACTTACTGGATATGGAAATAAATTTGTGTTTTGATAGCCCTCGCTTCCTGGTTGAATTACCTCTAAAACAACCTTGCATTCCCCTATATCTCCATGAATAGACACTCCACCAGAGGAGAGGGGAGGTTCAAACTGTAATACAGTGTTCTCATGAACCGTTATCTTCCATAAGCAGTTTTTTTCAGAAACATTTTCCCTCAAATAATAATTGAAGTTCTCTCAATGAGAATGAGAAAAGATCCTACTTGGAATTCAAATATATTCTCAACACACGCCTATTCATGAGCACGCTATCTTCAGTGACCGGATGAACTCCCGTGCTAAAATCAGTAAACATCTTCCTTAAATGTTCAATTTAGAGTTAACGTTTAGCGATTAAAAAATTACCATACTGATTTTGAAAGTTTCTGGAATCTGCCAATGTTTCTGAGTTTTGTTGAGTTGGACTCTTTGTCCGAAAACTTGAAAGATACTATTTTGTTCTCCCTGGATTTCTTTAATTGAGTATTGTCCGTCGTTGTGGATTACCTCTGTCCTTCTAGTTCTGATGATACCCAATCAATTATAGTTTCTTCTATCTGGGACGCCAAACCATTACCATCGAAATTGAGATTATCTTTCTCGATGTCGAAGGAAGTTTTGCGCACAACAATTCTATAAAAAATAAAAACCTTTCTCATATTTATCAAAAAATGTGCAACAAACTGAGAAAAATAATTACCTAAATCTCAAGCTTTTGATAGATCCAGAAAAGTGAAATTTGTTTGTTAGCGCCATATGTGTATTAGGTGTTTCGTTAGCTTAACCCCTTCAGCGTGCAACGGCAGTTACCATGACAACAGAGGCATGTGTCTGGAGCTGGTTGGTTCTTTCTCTTATGACAGGAAATAAAAATTTTCGTTACTCATCAAGAAAAGCTTCACCCATCTTTTCTGTTGTGGAAATTGAATAAGTTTATATAAAAAAAAAGAAAATGACACGAATGTCTTTTTTTTTTTCAAATAAGAAATAATACATTATTATAAAAGTACGTTTAGCCTACTATCTAAGTACAAAACACTCTATCTTTCACCTTGTTAACAGTTCCTGATTTAAGAGATGAGTTCATATTAGGCCAAGTTAATTAGTTCTTAGACATAGTTTCATATTCGATACCAGTCATGATCATATCTACATCCCCTCATGTGAAGCGTATTTTAGAAGATTCTCAAACTGTTTGTTCTTCCAGATTTGATTCTTCCATTTTTCGTAAACTTATACATCTGTTGCTTCTGAAGAAGAGGCGGAGTCATAGTAGTAAGAAAGATTATTCGTTTCAGAGAGAGTGGAGGAATATGAACAGATTAAGAAATAGGAAGAGATATAAGCAGCTGTTCCTTCGCTTTTCGGTTGTCAGTTTGTGCAGTCTTCACAAACGAGAATGGCTCGCTTCTTGCTTGTGGTATGCCTTCTGGCTCTCTTAGGCTCATCGTTCGCAAAGAAGGTAACTTAATTGGATTTTTTAATCACATCAGTAACATTCATGTATCGAAACACTTTCAGAAAAATGATATGGATGATTTGGAGTCGTTGCTCGAGAACATTGATGAGGAACAAGATTCTGATGAAAGTGGTTCAGTTAAGAAAGGTGCGGCTCAAATTACGAAGCACTGACGCTTTCGGTGTTACTCACTGTTAGAGGACAAAGACTTCTCTCAAATTTTTCCGTTTCTGTCGGGAGGATAACAAGAATTTAAGAATAGTTCCACAGAGTTTATCAATCTGAAAACAGCTGGTATTCCTCTTTCATCCTTTTACTCGTAGATTACATCATTCTATTCGAAAATGCTTTCATTTGATTGTCTCTGATATGACAGGCAAAATCTGTTCAGGCCAGTCAATGGAAAAGTTTTTTTATAGCAAGAAATCTTAATAGAACAGAGTATGTCGATGATTCAGAAATCTTTGGTATGAGAGAGGCACAGATAGAGCGGGGAGGGAAGAGTTAATGAGGAGAGGGATAGAATGACTGTTATAGAGAGACTACTATGACTTTGCCTAGAAATTGATAGAACAACAGACGTTTGTAGAACAATTGGTTATTGAATCTTCTCTTTCCACCTTAGAGTGCTGTAAAGTTGTATTATGGAGACGTGAAAAATAATAGAGACAGAATACGAAAACATTTCATTTCTCACTGAACTAACTTTTTTACTTTCAGTAGAAGTAAAGAACCCCTGTGAAGACCACGTCTGCGGATGGGGAAAAGAATGCGTTGTGGGAAAGAAAGGTGAACCCATATGTGAATGTATTTCTGAATGCCCTGAGCTCGATGGAGATCCAAATGATAAGGTTTTTTCGAGAATCGTTTATATTTTCTAATGCTTTTTGTTAAGGTCTGCGCGAACAACAACGAGACCTTCAGTTCTCTGTGTGATTTATACCGTAATCGTTGTCTCTGCAAGAAAGGTTCTAAGCATTGTGAAAACAAGCACCATGCCAAAGTAAATGAACAGAATTTTTCTATTATATATTTATTAAATATTAGGTTCATCTTGAATATCTTGGAGAATGCAAACAACTCAATGAATGCACTGACGAGCTCATGGCTCAGTTCCCAGAACGTATGGCTGATTGGCTCTTCCAAGTTAGAACTTTCATTTAATTTCTGAAAAATCAGGATGTGTTCAGGTAATGAAGGAGTTGAAGAAACGACGTGAGCTTCACAAGATGGAGTGGGAAGAACTTATCCAAGAAGCTGAAACTGATGACGAGAAGAAACATGTATACCCAGTTATTTGGAAATTCTGTGATCTGGATATCAAGCCACATGATAAGGTTAGATATCCTAAAATTTTGCTATTATAATAAAAATTTAGGCCGTTTCTCATCATGAGCTCATTCCTATTACTGCCCCAGTCATCCCTATGGAATCATGCATCAAGCCATTCCTTGAGGGATGTGATGCTGACAACGATGGAAATATTTCAATTAAGGAATGGGGAAAATGTCTCGGACTCAAGGAAGGCAAGAATAATTGTTTGTATTATTTATATATTTTGAGTTTTGCAGGAGAAATTCAAGAACGTTGCTGAACACTGGATGCTTCAGCGTGGAAGTCCAACAACAGATATTGAAATAATCAACAGAATACAAAAGTTATTTTATTTATGAATCCCATTGTTAAACATTTGTCTAATATCATTCTTTCATCGTAATAAATTTTCTTTTTTTTCGATATCCTCGACGTAATGTTAGTTTTTAAATAGAAATAAAAGAAAGACCGAGCCCTGGTCATTCAAAACATAATGTTTACTTTTTCTTCATAAACACGAGAAATGTCTATATTCAGTAGTGTATTGGATGAGTTTTGTAAAGAGGACGAAGAATAAGAATATTCACAGAAAATGTTTATAATCAGAATGTTTAAATTCATTCGTCTTTCAATCTTCCTCATCTTACAACTGCTTGCTGCCGAACAGACAGATTATTCGGACATCAAAATTAAATGATGGAAGGACGAAATGCATAGGCAATATGAAGAAACCTTTCTGAAAGTTGTAAGTGATGAAAGAGAAGACGAAAGATGAAACAAAATGGACAGAGATGCGTTTTGAGAGAGACCATTTGATTGAGAGGCTTTTATGATATCGTAGGGAAATGATGACGGATCACGAGAAATCTCAAATTATTGATAACTGATTGCATTACAACGAAACATTTTATGAAAATTAAAATGATTTGCTAGTTGACATCACCGAAGATTCCAGCAAACGTCCGCTTTAACTGACTCATTGTGTCATCAGCTAATGAGCTATATGATGAATCACTGCCAGTTGTGGTCGTAGCGGAGGAAATAGGATCTTCAATGGAGATTTGGCGATGTGGGGCTACAGTCTTTCCATGTAATGAATTGTGATTAGCGACTACTATACGTTGTGGTGACCTCTGAAGTTGGTTTGGCAATTGACTAGAAGTATGACCTGAATGAAAATTATTGTTGTTACAATGCATATCGTGTTTTGCCTTGGTTATGAGTATGTGAATGATGTGAAGTAACATTGTGATTTGAGGGAGTACGTGCATTTTGCTCCGTTGATGGCTCGTTGATCCGTTGAGTCGGTGGTCGGGACAGTTGCATATCCGATGTACTTTGGGAAACAGGGTGTCTCTTAGCAGTTGTTTTATTATTTGCTTCCAAGCTTTGTTCTCTAGATAGATGATGATGATACGTTTTCATATTCCTTTGCAAAATAGTTTTAACAATAGTACAAAGAGTTCTGCGGTCGTGCTCTTGACTCTCACCATAATATACTATAAAGTTGAATAAGCTATAAGAATAACCTCTTGAAATTACCTAAACAATCATTGATAGCATGAACATATTCAAAACCTTCCTTTGATATTAGAACGTCTATGGAGCACACATTCATGTGACCTACATGTTGGCATATGGCTTGGATGTATTGCTTATGTCTAAAATAGCGAAAATTATTAAATGTTTATCTTGTTTATCATCTGTTGTTCTGTGTACTTTCCAATATTAAATTTCTCTACTATGTTATACAGTGCTCAATCGAATTTTCGATGTCTAGACTATAATAGATATAAGAAACGCTTTGAACATACCTCTCCGATGTTGGAATTTGCTCGAGAATTGAAGAACCAACATTGCTTTTCCAGTTATGTGAAATGCTTCTTCGGATGAAAGTTTTATAATCTTCTCCAATTTTTTGAACGTGCAAATCGTATTTGAGATCAACATATGGCTCAACCTCAACCTGTAATAGACAACAATATGTATTTTAGACAGTTCTGTATATAAAACCTCTGTATCACCTTTACCTAACAGCTGAAAAAGACCTTCGACATCCAGCAGTTCTTCTTTTGTGTTAATTTTCATTTTTCCATATCCTGCAAACAAACATTATATAATTCATAGTAATAATTTCTCCAATACCTTGATAACCTTCATTTACTGAAACTACTGCAGGAAAACTCGTTGTTGGATGCTAACTCATATTATTTAAATGAATTCATCAAATTCAATAAATACTTACAAATTTTTGAAAATGGGGGTAGTGCACACTAGGAAGAAACGGTATTTTCGTTCCATCAGTGTAATGAATTTTTCTTAATTGCTTTTTCTGAAGTAAGAAATAATTTCTCGAAATTTAATTATGAGAGCACTGTACCAAATTGTTTCTATCCATAAATGCTACCATAGACGAGTGCGTGTTTAGGAAAGGAATATTGGCAGCAATTAGTGCTCGTAATATTGTTTTAGATCGGCTAGATTTAGTTGCTCCACAGCCGATGAAACAAGCGTCTGGGCAGAATGATCTGAAGCCTTTGAAGTCGCGAAGATGAATTAACTATTTTCTGACCTCTTGTCTCTTTCGGGCTGGTTGATTTCTATCAAGCAACTATGTTCAGTACACATCATGTCTATTTCTGAGAAATCGGCCTGAATCAATCATGTTTCAATCATATGGTTACTCTTCAATAACCTGCTCAACACGTACGGGGGGCTCATTTGGATTACGAAAGTATTTACTCCTGAAATGTTATTCCGTTAACTTCCCATCTTAACTTAATAACAAACCAATCCACTATAGGATTATCAATAACTAATAATATTTTAGCATCTGGTCCCATAACAGGATAACCGCGAGAACGATCTTGAAGAGCCTTTTCCAAGGCTGCAACTAATGATTCTCCAGTCCGTGCAGGCGATGTGGGAGCACTGGAAAGATAAACCAGTTCGATAATTAGCAAAAACGAGGGTCATCTTGGTTTTCCAATACTAAGATTAGAATACTAATATTGATGTGTCAGTAGCTGTTCTTGAATTCAATAGGATGAATGTTACTTCATGATCATTTGAGAAATCATTTTAAACATTGAAACACGAATGAACAATAAATAAAAGATACCTTATAGTACTGGATACTTTGTTTGCTATAGATTGGAATGAAAACGCTGATGGGGGAGATGGTCCCACTGGATCATCGAAAGCTACAGTGGTGATATCAGAATCACCTTCATCATCCGTGAATGAGAACTTTCGTTTGAAGAAGTTCATTTCGTTTTCTAAAAACAGTGTAGAAATAAGAAGAGTACAAGCTGGCTAATTAATTGATTCGAGACTGCAAAGGAAATAATTTTCATGAAATTAATTTTTTGAGCGTTGCAGAAATACATTTCGATTGCATTTCATAACTAAGCGTTTATAACAATCAAAATAAGAAAAAGCACTAGAAATAGCAAAGTGCCAATAAGCAAAATGCTGAATCGAAAACTCAGAAGAAGGGAGAATACATAAGCTGAAGCTATATCGATCTCTTGCCTTCCAAATACATGCACATGTCCCCATAGACGCTGAACGACGGCATCGCAGGCTTAAAATGAAAAATCTTTCCTTAACACTGTTTCAACCTTGCAACTTCTTTACATCTCAAGTCAACTATTTCATTGAATATAAATAATATTTTTCTGCTCGAAATACAAAATTTATTTTCACAAGATAAAACAGCGAAATAGAACTTTTTTCTTTCTCATTTCTAGAAAACTTTGAAAGTTCTCTGAAATTTGTTTCTATTGATTTCCAATTATGGTTTGTTCTCTCTTTTCATAATTGACTTGAGCGGTCAGCATCTTGACGATCCCATTTCATATGCTTATAAAGTATTGTTCTCTGACAGAAACAATGAAATACTACCATCTCCATTCGATGTGTATTGCGAGCGTAAACATAAATTCATTTAATTTCAATAATATCTATATAAGGATATGAAGCAAAAATGAATGAAAAAGATCATTATGTTTGTAAAACCAGAAGGACTAGATGGAATGATAATTGCGGATAAGATCAAAGAAGTTGATGCACAATTGTTGAAAAACTAATGGATTATTCAAATAACAGCTGTGTCCAGCATTGGGTACTTTCTCAAGTCGAGCATTTGGTAAGCATCGCAAGTTTGATGCTGAACTTGGTCCCAAACTCGTATCGCGATCTCCTGAAACAAAAAAACACAATTATGGAGACTTTATGGCCTTTTTTTAATTATGGAATGCTGTCATCGTTCATAAGCTAACCATCTGCGTTTGCTCACTATTTTTCGCTGCCTTATAATTTCACATTTAGCTATGAGGTTGAAGCATGTTGGCTTAGTTTGTTCTCTTTATCTCGCCCAGCTTTCTTTTTCTCCATTTTAATAAAACTAACCCCATAAAACAAGAACTGGAGTTTTCAAAGAGGATGGATGTATAATCTCATGTGTATTCGATAATGCTATAGCTACAACACAGATGAATACATCATGAGAAAGTAATGGGAGTATATACTGCGAAGACATAGAAGCTGCAACTATCATAACCTGTAAAATAGCATAAGCACCCGATGCATGAAAAACACTGGACCTACCTTTTTCACACCCAAAGCTGTTATAAAATCGAGCATAAACAAAGGCTTATCTTTTTGAGCTAATGTAGGACCTCGGGTCTGAAAGAAGTTTGGTTAAGTAACTAAAAACACGTTGTTTTAATTATTTTTAATGTTTAACGTACTCGTCCGTTACCGGGTAGATCAGGTGCTACACAATGATATCCAAGAGCAGCAATGGTTCGAAGAGTCTCATGTTCGAGCCAGGTGTTTGAAGTGTATGCTTGTCCATGCAGGAAAATTATGGTCCCTTTAGAATAGTGATTACCGGGAGGTGATGCTTCATGTATAAACACGGAATGTTCCTAAACAGTAATAAAAATATTTTTGAAATGATTAAAACAGTTTTTAAAGCATATTTTGATCATACATTCTTTACTCAGTTGAAGTATAAAACTTACTTACTTAATCGGTTTTAAGTGTTTCAGTGATACAAAACAGAATTAAGGAGAATGAGAAAAGATGAATATGTGATACGTTGTTTATATGATATATGAATGTTCTTAAAATCGTGACGAGCAAGGATGATGTAAGTTTGCTTCATAGACTTCTCTTATAGTATTTGAGTGTTCTCTGCAGCGTAGATTATGACAACTTACTCCAATATCTAATATTTTCTGTTGAACGTTGACTAACTCGGACAATTTTCGTGCATTTTCAGGAATTGTGCGAGATAAGTCTGCTCGTTCAAGCAGCGAAGGCTGCTCAACAAGAACCATCGGCCGGAACAGAAACTAGAATGAGTTTGATTGAATAAAGAAAAATATGAACAAGAAACAATCGAGCAAAAATAAATGAAAAAAATTTAAAAAAAAAAGGAAATGTAAAATTGTATGTTACAGTGATCAGAGATTATTGGAATCAGGGGTAAAGAAAGAAAAGAGTGTTTTCATTCGCAGAAAAAAAAGTAAAAAAAAGTCTTCTGAAGCTTAGTAGTTTGGAGACTGGGCAGAAACATTTAAATTGATAAGATAAGCTGGCTTGTGTTCATAATTATGTGATTGAGAGAGTCATTTAAAAGATTGTAGTTGTCTTCTGGTGATTCTCTTTGATCATGAGTGAAGAAAAGAAAAAAAAAGAAAACTTAATTGAGAGGTCAGTGACAACGAATAATGACATATCTGAGAATAAGAGGCTTGTAAAAAAGTGTCAGTTGTTGTCGATAAAGCGAATAAGAGTCTGACAGAATGTTTGAAATAAAAACAAATATTCTCTCAAATTAAGATTATTAGCAATGTAATAAAAAGGTTGAAAGACTGAATAAACAGAACGGTTTTCAGGTAGACAAGGCTTTTGAAGAGATAGTTGACTGTAAGTGCTTGACCATTCCCATCTGTTTGCTTGCTTGACCAAGCACCCCGCTTTCGCCTCTTCATCTTATACCCCATGGGAATTATGAGAATAAAATCGAAGGAGTTTATGTGTTTTTTGAAGTTTGACCTTAAAATTCCGGTTGAAACTCACTTGTTTCTTCTGAATTTTTTAGCAATCTGCATGAAGTGGCATTCAAAAATGGTAATTCAAAGAGTGGTAGCTAGCGTTTTACGTTTGAGCTACTCAGAATCGATAAGAAATATGGATAATAGCGTAGACAGTGAGAATTGAAGTAAACGTTATCTATGGGGGTGGAAGAAAGAGGAAATCCCACCAAACATGTGGACTAGGCGTTCAAAAACGTAATTGTCTTTAGAAAACTTCAAATCACTTTTTAATCAAGTTTTTTATTGAATTCACCAATGGCAGAAGCGAACAAGAACTTGTTGTAATGCAGAAAAAGTTTGCATTTCGAAAGGGCTTTTCGAAAGAAGTAGTGTGAAATCTAATTTTCTGAAGTTTTTGTTGCTCCTGTTAATATTTCTAGTAGGCTAAAATGTCGACAAAACAAAGAATTTCTTCGAGTAGGATGGAAGAAAAATCCAGAAAAAAAACCATCAGGTTTGTCCAAGTGGAGATGAGGAAGAGAGAAGAGTGAACGGTGCTCCTTTTTGTTCCTTCTACTCTACTAATGTATGCACAAGACTATTGGAAAAATGCTTGAATGCAGTAAATAATAATAACTTTCATGACAAAGATTAAAGAAAAATATCAAAAGGTGTGTTTGCAAAACATTATTTGTTATGAATCACGACAAGGGGATTGACAAGTTAATAAAAACGGGATGAACAGACATGGAACGAAGTTGAGAGAAAAGGAAAGAATCAGATTTTCGACGGATCGGTGTATGTATTTTAATCAGAAAGCAGAGAGGGAAATCCGGAATTGCATGAATTAATAAAAGAGATCGGAATATTATTTGAGAATAGAAGAAACAGGTGAAGAGGTTGTGAGAGAAATAGAAAATCTACAGACAAAGATGGTAGGGAAATTAAGAAATACAATGAAATGTTCGAGAGAAATAGATGGAGAGAATAGAAAGATGATGCCTTTTATAGTATTATGTATTCGAATGAAAGATTGAGGCTGGTCGTTCTCGATGGAGGTGGATAGAAAGATGAACGATTGTTGAAACGAAATCGACACGAGAAGAACGAGAAGAGATAAAATTTCTTTAGCATTCCCTGGCTATTCGTGTAATTCAAATGATTTTTTTCACATTATCTGAAGTAATGAAAATCCGCCACTTGTCAAGCTGAACATATTATTAGCATTATTCAGTTCAGGGCAGCTATTTTATCATTTATTCGCATTTTGACATCCTAAATCAGAAAAGTATTCTCTATTATTGGATGAAGAGAGACTAGACAGAGAGTAAGGTATGAAACGGCAATGCGACGAGAGAGTTTTATAGAAAAATTCTGATAGATCAGAAAAAGAATGAGGGAGATGAATAAAGAGAGAGAGAAAGAGAGAGAGAGAGAGAGAGAGAGAGAGAGAGAGAGAGAGAGAGAGAGAGAGAGAGAGATACTTCTGGTTCAAGCTGAGGTGTCGATTTGTATGTTTTGTTGTAGTGTTCTGTGTGCATAAGCTAGCTGGAACATCCAGGGTAACGTGAGTGTATCAGAAGTAACCAAGCAATTCGCATGTTTATCCAAATTATGAAAATGGGATGAAATTGATATATTCACAAAGCATTGTGCTTCTGAGAAAACAAAAAAAAACTATTTAAAAGCGAAGGGTTGGAAAAGAGAAGATAAGATGGATTAGATTATGCTGTCATTAAACCATTCCAGATGTTTCAGGGTGATTCTTCAAAAGAGCAGTAGTATAATTTTGAAGTAGAAGGTCATTTTTCATTCAACGTAGAAAAAGAGATATGGCTGCAAACACACTTTTCATAACTATGTATATTACATTACGTAGAAATGAAAACGAGAGCGTGGTTCTAAAGCAGTTTAGTAAAAAAAACTGTGAATCCAGACTAAGATGCTGGAAGCATCCCCATTGACAATTCAATTTGCTTAGTAATCATTTAACGACAATCGCGACTTACACAGGACATTGAGGAAAGTTCTGATGAAAATGGAACTACTCCAAGAAGAATGAATCATTAAGCGAGCATTATTTAATAATAGGGTTGGGGGGAACATCAGGCGAGTGTATAGAATATACGAGAAAGCACAAAAGAAGAAAGAGCAGGAAGCCATCTCCTTAAAAAGAATTCCGAAACTTCAACTCAGCTGGCTACTATAATGATGGAAGCAGTTGTGATAGATGATGGCGGAGTTTGAAACAACCATTGTGAGGAGTGTCTAAGGATAGATCAAAAGAAGTACGCTGAACTCGAAAGATGTTGGAGAATCGACGGTTCAAGCCGTACGTTTTGCCCACTACCAAACGGGATTACGACGACGTTGAATAATCCACATAACAAAGGACGACTGGTGAAGAACAAGAAGGAAAAGAAGACAGCTTAAAAACCAATATTCATACAGATAACAATCAACTATCTCAAATTCCCTAATACTAAGTACAGCTGTGTTAATAAGCAAACCAAATTCATGAAAACTAAGAATAAGGAGCGAAACTATAGTTGGGGAATTTTTTCATACTTCACCCCCTTCGAATCAAAAACCAAATTTCGATAAAAGAGGAATGACAGGAACACAAATTTTTCATATGCATTTATCGAACATGTCACAAAAAAACAATTAAATCAGTCATATAATAACAAATCAACAAAATGATATCTAAATTCACTACTTTTGTACACACTATGATATCTCCTATTAAATGAGGTTATGATTCCATCGCCATTTTCCTGTCATAAACTTGGGAGCGTGAAGGAGACCAGTACACGGATGTTGTCCTTGTACCTCACACATACACTATAAAAGCATAACGTTTACTACTTTCACAGAAAATGGATCGGCGAACCTGTCGTTTGCATTTGGAGCCAAAATCAGCAGGATTCAATTTGACTATCTGTTCCAACTCCTCACGCTTTTTCACGATTTCTGTTTTACCGAGAGTATTGGCTAACTGTGCTTCAATGTCTTCTCTGGAAAGACTTTCCAAATCGAATAAAACCTCTCTTCCATCCTCTGAAATTTAAGGGTTCTGAAAAAAGGAACGAAACATGTAATGCAAACTCAAATAAGCTCGGGCAAAAGGTGTGATAACTGTATCGACATGCTTCACGAGTTGCACTTTGGGATTGTGATACTAAACATATTTCGTTAACATGAATGTATTCACATAACTACCTGTAATTGTGCCCAATGCCAGAAAACGAAATCGCGCGCGCCCCTTTGCTCCTCCTCTGGTATTCTATTGAAACCAATAGAGAAAACCTGAGAATGTCAAACTAAAGTTTATAGAGCATTGTTACCTGGACATTGTCACGGAATCGAATTTTTCCTTGCTTCAAGTAATAGAATGTCCGCCTTAGCGGCATAGGACCGTGCATGAACGGCATTTTGCACTAAAAGATTTTCAGAGTTTTCGATAAATTAACTGAAAAGTAAGAATGGTTTTGGCCAGTTGCATTGCTAAGTTGAAAAGAAACCTTCAAAAACAAACTTTAATGAAACAATGGTATAACAGAAGACAACAATTAGAAGCTGAAAACTTCATTATGAAGATTTATTAAAAAATCTAAATAGCATCAATTCTTCCTACCCAGAGTTCAACATTACTTGGATAGTTTACGGAAGGCAGTAAAGACCTGAAAATATATTAAACTTTTGAAACCCTGGTTTTTGTTCACCTGATTATGATATCAGCTGCTCCAAAACTGAATTGAGCACCTAAACCATCGAAACTTGAAAGGAATTGGCTTACTTCTCGGATAACGTGATCAACTTCTACATCATTATTAATCAATTTTTCAGCCTGAAAATTCATTATTTTTAAACCAATTCACCCAGTTTCATACCATCTCAAGCCACAATTGTTGATGAGTAGCATTGATGGACTGTTGGGGAACGAAAGAGTAGAGTCCTAATGCGCTTCCAAGCATTTTCCATGTAGTGCTTCTCCTGTTGATCTCATTATTCTTCAAAGTCAGAGAGAAAATATCTAAAATTTTGACGTGACTTCCAAAAACGCATTTGTGATAACCTCCTTCTGTGACGGTGACGGTTGTTGCCGCCTTCTGAACATTGTTTGGATGTGCACCAAGAAAGGCAACATTCCTTGATTCCGCAATCTTAGAAAACGCTTTAACCCAGGGCAGATCGTGAACCTGTACAGTCAGTGAGACACTTCCAAAAGCTAGAATTAGAAACTTTCATAAAATTAAGAATGATAGGGATGTACTTTCTTGAGGAAATGACACTAGTTGTTGCTTTGTACAAGCAGTTAGCGATTGTCCGGTTTCAGTTGAAAGTTTATCCTCCTACAAAACTTATTTGTTCTTGTGCATTGAACTAATCTATACCATGACGATCCAGTTGTTCGAAACGCTGTTTTTTGAAGGCTTCTTAGAATCTTCATTAATTGGCTGATTCGCTACCTAGACAGCAAAACTGAATTTTTTATTATGATAAAAAAAACTGTACTTTGCTTTTAGCCTCGTTTTTGGCTGCTTTACGGGCTTCTTTCTTAGCGTCTTTATCCTTTTTACCTGCATCGGTGGTGGTGGGAACTTTTGAAGCGCTCTGTTCAGTCTCAGGAGCTTTTTTACCAACATCTTTCTGTTTTTTTTTGTCACCTTAGAAACATAGTCATATCCACAAGTCCTCAAAAGTCTTAACGCACCTTGAGACTTGAGATAAGAATCTAGCTTAATGTTCAGTGCTAGCAACCTGCCAAGTAAATCAGCTTGCTTCAATTCGATGACGGCCACAGGATCTGTTATCTCCATGTCATTCTAGAACAACCCTTCATTTAAACAACAAGGTAGAGACAACATTTACATCATCATTATTTTTATCAACAGCATGGTAGTTGGGAAGTGAGTACATAATAGGGGCGGGACTGATTTTCACATCATCTCCCATATAAACTGGTAGTTGATACATAATTTCGGCACTGGTTCCTAAGAAAATCACTGAGTGTAAATTTAATCAGATAGGAGTTGTAACTGCTTAACTTGTATAGTTTATATATTACACTGTTTTTGTAGCTCGAGAGGGCCCTCACGCAAAATTGCAGAAAATACGCAATGTTGGTTGAAGCTCGTTCGATCAAAAATTTGTAGTTGCTATATACTCTTCTCCTAGTGAAGTTCACTAAGTGAACCCCTAGTAACTTTTAACTAGTAATGGTAGGCTTGAACATCTAAGCCTCTGCGTTAAAGTGAAAATATTAGTTAAAATTTAAAACTAAGGCGCAATTTATTCGACAGTTTCGTCATGACGTCATTAACTCAAGCTGGTTTTGTTAGATGAAACTTTGTAATTTGTACATTGCATAATTAGTTTTTTCTACCATAAATCAGAGAAAAATGTATTCTAGTTGCTCAGTTTCTCATTTAACACAAATATTATTTCTTCAAAATTTTATGATTGACTTGTACACTACTCAGGAAATAAGAAAAAACGTGAAAGCATTAGGCTTTATTATTAAAAATAAACAAATAAATATAGCATGAAAGCTTCAATAACTAATAACTATTTTTGTATGCAAAGTACAACAAAAAATAAAGCACATTCTTCAAGAACTTTCCAGAAAGATGATAAAAGCAAATGATTTTTCTAAGCAATTTAAGATCAACTGAATAAACCGTTCTTCTTTCAAGTGGAATGTAGCTTAGCGAGACTGAAGGCAGATTATCAGGAATGAGATCAAAAGTGAAGCTTACTCATAAAAAAACGATTAGTTTGCTGGTTGACTGCTTATTGTTGTTCTAGTGACATTTCCTTCAGAATCTACTGTTTCTATTTGTTCTCCAGGTGGCAATTCTAATAATCTTTCTTCATTTTCTGTTCCCGTGAAAGCGACATGACTTATAACTGGGTCACGAACCTGAAGCGGATATAAAATAATGCAAGTTTCTGGGAGCAATAACGTACCCGTGTTTCAACTCTGCGAGAAATTTTTTTAATTGTTCCATCTGAATCCAATGCAGTTGTCTCAAAAGTGGTTAAAGTCGAAGGGTAAGAAGCTAACATATTGTCCAGTTCTCCTCCCAGCGAATCCTGAGCATAGATTGTTACGATTATATCTATCCTACCTGATATATATATA